CCCCCCCCTGCTCCGCTCGGCTTCCCGCCGTCTCTCTCCTTCGAGGGCTTTAATTTGTGGAAATCGGGTTCATTAATTTTGCTTGAAGGCTTTGCGTGCTCGGTGGTCTTACTTAATTTTTGTCTTCCGGCTGGTGGAGTTGAAGGAAGGGAACAACATCACAAAGTACAGAACCCTGTACTTTGTGTTGTTCAACAGCGGCAAGGGGCGCAGTGAAGGACGAGCTTAAAGGCAGCAGGAAGCAGTGTTCTTTGGATCGGCGCGGGCGGCGATGTGTAGACGTCCACCCGGCTTGTTCACCCCCACTCGCAGAAAGAAGCCCCGCAGCAAACTGTGGAAAACATCACCATAACAAGTCAGCATTGATTTTGTGTAAGGTCGTCCAATCACCATGCCAGGGGGAGGTAATTAATTATGTAAACGTGATGCCGTGTCGCGAGCATTCCTCAACATAGAGTCGTCAGTAGCAACTGAGGGGGAAAGTTGGACACAAAACTTTTCCTACTTTTCAGTCCCTCTACCCGCTCCCATCTTTCTCCACTCCTCCCTCTGTCTGTCTATCTGTCTCTCCCTCTAGCTCTCCCTCTCGTTCGCTTACTCTTCCCCTTACCCCAGTAATTAAATGTTTCAATTTGCTGTGTTTGTCGGTGGACGACCTAACCTCACTTTTTCTCTCCCTCCCCCGCTGGCTTCCCCACAACGCTTATTTTTCAGGCACCACTGCCACAGGAGGGAGCAAGGTAAACGTACACTGTTTGCAAGACGAACTAGGGCGGAGAGAGAGTGAGAGAGTAGGACAGAAAGAAGAGAGTAACGCTCCCCGTACGTCAGGACATCAATCACAGCGCTGCCAAGTGGCAGTCGGGAAAGAAATCCTCCCCGGTGACCCCTGCAGTGCCAACTCCCCTCCCCCCACCCTATCTGTCGAGCTGCTGACCTGGTGATTAGAAAGCCCTGAACCGCAGGTCCCGGCGTTTCGTCACGTTTTTGCCATCTGCAGGCGCAGTTGGTAGTTGCAAGATAAAACTATCAGAGACGAAAACTAACCTTATTACACATTCTTTTCGAAACGACAGAAGAGCTATTAGGGAAATTAGACAACGTTACTTGGATTATTAAAATCTTATTACACAGTTGTTGTAATTTCTCGAGGAATTTCTACATTTTACATTTTACTGAAGAAAATTACTTTTAGTTGCCTTAGTAACAAAAATGATTCCGAATGTTTGGCTTGGGCTTGTTCAGTTATTTTCATCCCTGTCTTTTTACTGGAGGGTTGCCGCTTGAAGAAGGGTGCGCGACATGGCCAGGCGGCCGTGAAATTACGGTGACTACCTCGGGACTTTAACGAACTAAGAGACAACCCCACTTCCCCCGGTGTATACGGCAAGTGAGATGCGCGCACACTCGTTGGGCCCGCGGTGTGTGTGCTGATAGTGTCTGTCTGTGCGGCCCGCGGGGCGGCGGCCGGCACAGCCCGGGGAACGAAGCGAAGGCCTCATCGACAGGCCTAATCGTTATTTATAGACGATGAGGTGCAGCCTGCGCTTCGCCGAGCCCAGAAAGAGAGAGAGAGAGAGAGAGAGAGAGAGAGAGAGAGAGAGAGAGAGAGCGAGAGAGAGAGAGAGAGAGAGAGAGCGAGAGCGAGAGAGAGAGATTTATGAGAGAGACGGACAGCAGTAAGTCAAACTGCCGAAGCCTCCCGCGAAGCGAGCCGGTGTCGTGCGAGAGCAAAGAGCAGCCTTTGTTTTGGCGTTTGAGACCTCTTACCTCTTTAATCCTTGTAATCTTGGAATTAAGGTCGTAATAAGTCGCACGAGGGCGCAAAGGCAGCGGTGTGGTGAAAAGAGAGGCGTGTGATTCACAAGGTGGATGACAAAACTTGTTAAAGAAGGAAGGGATTGACGATCTTTGAGTCTTTGAAAGATATACTTCTTTTACACGGCTCTTATGAGCTGAATCGTACACTGGAAATGCAAGTGTGTGAATGTCGCTCACCTGCAGGTGACTTTAACAGGTGAGCAGGTGAGCGACATTCACACACTTGCATTTCCAGTGTAATGGTCAGGCATCGGAATTGGTTTTTCTTTTCACTTTTGGACAAGTTTCAGAGGTTTTCATATGAGATGGATTCGTGTAGGCTAGATATTGTGCAACAGACTTTTCAAACACTTGCCAGCTGAGTGGCAATTACCTGTCCAATAATTACTAACACCAAACTACAGGGGTCTGATTGCGCAGGCTGTTGACTGAGGTTGGTTCATTTTCCCCAGCTCTCCAACGCACGTCTTCAAGTCAAGCCTCAACAGAACTGAGTCCACAAACACAGAGTCCAGTAGTCGGCAACAGAGCAATGAGAATTCAGATTGTTGAGCGTGAAAATCGCACCATGAGTGGGACACACTACTTACTGTGAATGTGGCACAGTAGTAGTGGGGTGTTGAGTAATGGCGGACTCGTACTTGATTTGACAGTGTACGTCGTCTTGATATACAAATATGAAAAGAGGTTCTGGACCCGTTACTATCTCTGGTGCGGGTTATAGTTCACGTTATGACTGGCCGCAGATATGGCGCTGGGAGGCGTTTACAACAACTTTGTGTGCGGAGAAAGTATGGGGTGGTGCAGGGCGGGAGCAGCCGTAGGAGAGAAGCGGTGTGGGAAAGGGGGCAACAGGGGAGGGTGGGGGCTAAGGGTTGAGTTCAAGTCGTAAGCCCGTTTGTACCTCCGCCGGGTGGCAGAGGGATCAGTGCATGCCCGGTATGGCGGCCGAGCCGAGGCCGACCGCATACGGGCCAGAACAGCCGCGCTCGCCTGGACCGAAACAGAGTGCCGGGGATTACATTAGCATGGCGCAATAATAGCTGCATAACGGCCGACGTACCCGTGGCGGGACGTACCGTGCCCCGTTCCTTCTGTAAATAATTAATACAGGGACACTATAGCGACCACTCTACAGAGTGTGTTGTGTGTGGCATTCGAACACTATAAAGTGCCAGTAAATATGATCCGAGAAAAAGTGGAAAGGCTTAAAAACAATTTTGAATAAATATTTATAAAGATAGCTTTTATTTGGCAGAATAAGAACATAATTATGCACATTTTAAATTTCATTTGGAGAGGAGTGATGGACCAGTGAAATTTCTTAACTTTGTAAGACTGATCAGTGAAGTCGATACATATCGCCTTCAGGGCATATGTCCAATTTACTTGATAAATTATAACTATGCTTAAATAACGATTGCAAATTACCGATGATTAAATCTCTTAAAATAAACGTTCACAAATTTTGATTAATTAAACACTTTTTCCGAGGGGCACCATCTAATTCGCGTCCTCACACTTCCTGGGACGTGACAGCCAATTCTAAGCGTTTGTTGACTGTCGACAGGCTGCCTTTGTTAACGGCATTGGCCCACAGTCGTACGAACTGCGTTAAAGGCCGACCCATCCGTTCGATCGACGGTTGACGGCAAACGAGGGTGATGGCCGCGCTAACGACTGGCGCCGAGCTGCAGCTGGTGACACCGACCACCGACGTCGTCGGAGGTATATATATATGCTCCCCAGAGGCAAAGAAGAATGAAAGGTCTGAGAAAAATTGAAAGATAATGTGCGAATTGCGGCGGCCGATCATCGGCGAGTTATCTCCGGAACTTTTTTCCCCCCGATTTAATGAATCACCCACATCGCCGACGATCTGCGAATTTTTGACAGACCTTTTCCTTTGCCTCGTGGGC